ATGTGGCGTGTGGCTTTTCTGGGCCAAGCTGGCCCACCCAGGGCCCCCCCCCCAGCGGGGCCCTCCCGATCCTTCTTTTTTGGGGGGGCTCCTTCGTCGCAGCACACAATCCGCGGCGGCGGAGGATCGCTTCCAGAGTGGCGAAAGAAAGCTGGAGTGAGCCTGCTGCAGGCCTCATGCTGACGCATCCGGCATGCCGCTGTCAGAATAGATCCACATCGTTGTTTGATGCCGCCGTTGCCACTCCCACTCAGGCATCGGGCTCAATTATTTATGAGTGCTGAGCTGATGGCCCGTACACGTATGTGTTTGTATATACATATAACGGCGCACCGGGTCCGGGGGCCCGGGGCCGGGACCTCGACCACAAATGTGCACCCCGGGGGGCCCGGAGGCTCGTCGGGGCTTGCCGGAGGCCTCCCCGGTCAGACAAGACAGCCCCAGGAGCGCCCAAGACGGCCCAAGAAACTTCCAAGAGGCCTCCAAGAGGGCTCCGAGATGCTGAAGATGGCCTCCAGACGTCCAAGGACGCCCCCAAGAGGCCCCAAGAAGCCTCCAACATGCGTCCCAAGAGGGCCCCTAGACGCAAACATTGGCCCATTCCCTTCGTAAAACGTACATTTTTCACAAAGTTGCTTTTTGGGCTTTCCGACGTTACAGGACGGCCCACGAGGCGCCCAAGACCGCCCCAAGACGGCCCAAGAAGCCCCCCCAGGACAGCCCAAGAGGGCCCCAAGACGGCCCAAGAGGCGCCCAAGATGGCCCAAGAGGGCCCCAAGACGGGCCCAAGAGGGGGCCCAGAGGGGGACCACGAACCGCAAGCTCGAGCCTTCCGCCCCAAGAGGCCGCCAGGAGGCCCCCAGGAGGCCCCTCAAGAGGCCCCAGGAGACCCCAGACGTCCAAGGACGCCCCCAAGACGCCCCAAGAAGCCTCCAACATGCGTCCCAAGAGGGCCCCTAGACGCAAAAATTGACCCATTCCCTTCGTAAAACGTACATTTTCAACAAAGTCGCCTTTTGGGCTTTCCAACGTTACAGGACGGCCCAAGAGGCGCCCAAGACCGCCCCAAGACGGCCCAAGAAGCTTCCAAGAGGGCCCCAGGACAGCCCAAGAGGGCCCCAAGACGGCCCAAGAGGCGCCCAAGATGGCCCAAGAGGGCCCCAAGACGGGCCCAAGAGGGGGCCCAGAGGGGGACCACGAACCGCAAGCTCGAGCCTTCCGCCCCAAGAGACCGCCAGGAGGCCCCCAGGAGGCCCCTCAAGAGGCCCCAGGAGACCCCAGACGTCCA